TCTTGGTTGAGCTTTATAGCACCAGTCAAAGCAATCAGAGAAGATTGAAGTGACAGAGGCCCACTGAGTAAATAGTGAAACATGCAGCACATCATGAAATATTCAGCCAGGGTGTAAAAGCTCTAAATGCTTTTTCAATTATTAGCACCTGCACTGGCTGCTTACATCTAACACTAACAGCATGTTAATTGCCACAATTTGTTAGGGTAGTTGTAGGAGAGATTTTAAAGACATGAGACATTCTCTAGCGTCTTCAATTCCTATTTTACCTTCAGCAAACCCTCTTCTTCCTCCTAAAATTAAGTATGCGTGTACACATTCTTGCAAAGATACATCCACATAACTCAGGTAGGAAAACTCAAAATTCCTGAGCCACAGGCAGCGTGAGTTTCAAGACCCTGAATCTTGAGCAGAAGACTGCTAAACATCTTTTCGTGTGCAAAATCCAAATACATTATATCTACCTGAGAAAGGCATAATTGCAGATTTTAACAAACACAGATTAGAGAGAAGTTGTGTTTTTTCCCAGGTGTGTTTTGCTCTTGACTTTATATAAGGAGAATTTTATTGGAGGGCAGAATAAAAAGAAGCTAAAACATTGTCTTACTAATGTGTAAAGACTATCAGACTACAGTTTATTTTTAAACAGCACCAGGGTCCTCCCTACTGGTTGTATAGTGTTCTTGTTCTCAGTGCTCAGCACACTGAGTAGTTCCACTGCAGGTCAATGAGGGTATGTTACTCATTGCATATAAATAGCAAGAGGGTTAAGACAAGGGTGACAAAATACAAGGTTATGCTAAACAATAGTAATTTAATGAGGCAGCCATTTAGTCTGGAATGGTCTTTTCAGTTCTGTCCATCCCCAGTCAGTACTCAGAAGTTTCAGGCTCAAACCCTCCAATTTTGCAGTAGTTATAAATGTGTTCTAGGAAAACAGTTCTCTTTAAAATGTAATGCTGACTTCCTTGCAGTAGGTTTGCTGGCAGTGGGATTTATGGTTTTGCTTTAGGCTGTTTTCTTCCAGGCAGGCTTTTTGGGGTTGCAGCTGTAGCATGGCATTTAGCGTCGTTTTCAAGTTTAATTGCACATAAGTGGCATTATATGCTCTTCAAAACCTTGAAAAGATGGTACTTTGCTCTTCATTTTAAGTCATGCGTATGTAATATCTGCCATAAGAACCAGGGAAGCTATTTTTAAACTGGGGTTATGGATGAAGGAAATTTAACTTTTCTTCCTTTCTTCCCATACAGGCTATACATGCCTGTCTTTTCCTAGATGAAATGACCAAATGCTTTGGTCATTGCAAACAACAAAAACTATCATCTCAATTAAAACAAAGAGTATGGATTAAATTGTTAGGTGTTTTTCTGCCTATGATTTGAATTTTTGAAGCAGATGACTTTACAGCCTGGGAGACCATAATAATTCAGCACAAATATAAACATTTCTACAGTAACCTGCCAATGTGACTCAAGCACAGCTTGATAGGGCCATCTTCAAGGGTGAGGAGGCAGAGAGGCTCTAGAAACATTCAGTCCATGATTTGGCTGTAAGGGCAACAACTGTAATGTTTTGTGTAATATAAATTTTAATGGGAAGAGGATGTCCAATCGCCTTAGGCAGATTTGACAGCCTTGGCCTCTTTGTATGTCTGTCTTAATTAATTTTTAGTATTTGCCAAACAGGTTTAGATCATCAGATTAATGAGGATGTATGTGTCCAAAGTAGTAATACTATTTTATTACTGTTCTGATCAATTCCATTTTTAAGTACATAAGTATCTTCTAACATCTGAGGACAAAGTTGGACCTTAGTAGCAAAGAGTTTTCAACCTCCATAGACATCTTAAGGAATCACTTTACCGAGAATGAATGAACATTGATTAGAGAGATTAAAATAATATCTTAGCCCAGAAGATTTAAATTTAATAAACACACTTATGTGTAAAACCCCACAGATTCTGAAACATAGTGTGGTTAAGTCTTATCACAGTTTCCTCAGGCAATAATCCATTCTCCTAGAGTAAAAGTACTATAGTAGTATCTCTTAGCATACTTTCCTGTTGTGTGTCCCATCCTGTTTGCCTCCTTTAAGTTTCCCCTTGCTGTACTCCAAGCAGTGAAACAAAGAGTCCAAACAGTTTATGATACTGTGAATAGGTGCATGTATTGATTAAAAAAAACCCCAACAAAACAACAAAAAAGCGCTAAGGCTTTTTTTAAAAAAATCACAATTTGTTACCTAAAACTTCAACAGGGAGTTATATCTGACAATTCATAGTCTTTTTCCTTTCCATAGCCCACTTATGTTTAAATCTAAGATATTCTAGTAAACCTTTGCCACAAGCTACTTTGAATATTCCTTTTAGGACACAAAGCCCAAAAGAACTATACTAGCCTTTGAGCACTCATACTCTAAAAATTGCCTCAAACCTCAAGGCATTTGACCATAATTAAATATCAAATATCTGTTACCACCTGCTTTTTTATAACATTCCTTTCAATTTGTATTATTTTTGTGAATTGTTTTTGTGACTGAGATTAGAGTATTGCTAAGTACTCATGTGTGTTAAAGCTTCAGATGATCTATTTAGTTTTATATCTCAGAGCAGAAAAGAAACACTGATTAGAAAATTAGAATGAGGCATTTTTAAAAATTGCTTTATTATAGTTTCTCTGATAAAGGATGGGGGAAAAAGAAAATTCCTTCTTATATGCATTTGATTTCTGAAAGGAAAAGAAGGTGATTTTGTCAGTGAACTTTGCTTTTGTTTCAGTGCTCTTCTAGGAAAACTCATGAAGAAATGTTTTGTGAAAGTATTGGGGGTAAAAAACCGTAAACCCTGAAGCAACAGAAAGGAAAACATTTCTCAGTGGAAACTCCTGAAGATTCCTAATCTTTTGGCAAACTTTCTTATTTTGAAACATGTAGCTGACCCATTCCATTGGAAAAAATAGCTAGGACAGGGTACAACTAAATGTTGTCTGAACATTAGGACAACCTTCGAATGTTACTGCGTTCACAGTTGCAGACCTTATTGTACCACATGCAACTATGAGAAGATGGGGAATGCCCGATAAACAGTATCACAGTTAGCTCTCAGTTCAAACTACCATGGCTGCAGGTTGCTGATGAATGGAGTAAGAGAATGTAGAGTCCAGATATTTTTCTAGAAATTAAAAAAACAAACAAACAAACAAAAAAACCCCACAAAAACAAAAACAAAAAACTCAACCAAACCCTCACAATAGACCCCTTTGGTACAGCTTTTTCATCTCGGCTTCCTACAAGAGAGATAGCACACTTATGCAAGGCCTGTCATTATTAAACCTGGAATAGGGTCAGAGACTCCAGGTAATCCCCTAGAGGCTTCTCTGCTGCCAGTTTCAACTTTGAAAACATAGTGTTTCTTTTTTCCAGATGAGTCTGACTTATGCCTTTGCCATGTAGTGCATTGATTGTCTTAAAGCATCAAAAGATTCTTGTTTAAGTGGAACATTGTATTAATAGTTTCTCAACTTTTTTTGACAAACTTTCTTTGGAGTTGACCCTGTTTGAATGAAATGTGTGAGAATTTTACAGTGATTTCGATAGGTCTGTAATCAGTGATTATAAAATTACACTAATGAATCACCTTGACGGAATGCAAGATTATACCTTTCTCAGGCATGCAAATATAACTGTTGGTTGCATGGTAATTTACCGTGCTATATTCAGGGTAAATTAACCTATATCTTACACTGTGTTCACAGTCTGCTTTAGTAGATGATACAGAATAGAGGTTCTTACCACAGTATGCTGGCTCAAATGCTTTAAAAGCAGAAAACTTTGCAGTTTTAAGAGCTCAGACAATATGGGCTTTTGTTTAACAGGCTTTAAAAGGCAAACTTCTTAAAAATTTGTATACCTGTCTCAGAGTACTTAGCATATTCCTACATTGCAGATATTTTCTTCCTTGAAATGTTACAATTCTATATCAGCTTATTTCAAGCATTCATGATAAAAACCTGAGGTAAAGACTGTAGCTTTCCAGACAAAACTCAATTCCCTCCTTAAATGTAAGATTTGAGGATCAGTTTAACCTGTGCCTTGTGAACACAATTCTCCTAATGCTATTGTATAATGCAGTCACTTAGGGGTCCTCACTAGCATCCGAGAGTGTTGGAGTCACTTAGTACTTAGCTTAATGTTTGATTTTAGCATATAAATTAAAGAACCTGTATGTATCTGTGCTTAGATGTAGTTATATAGCTGGAAAGCAAGTTTATAGAAATGTCTTTCATTTGCTTCTCCTTTGAGAAACCATGTGCTTTAAAATCTTGCTGCAAAAACACTTAGAAGGTTATCACAGGTAGAGTTGTCAGAGCAAATGGACATTGTTGTTTGGTATTAAAATCATGTATTCCAGATGTGGGCATTTGTTAGTCATTGTGCTCCAAAATGACATACTGTTGAATCTTTAAAGGGCTTCAGTTTGGGAAAGCAAAATATGATTGGGCAAATTGCTAAAATATTTAAAGTGCAGCCTGTTAAAGCTTTTACTGTGAAGAGCATCACGTCAGAAGTTGTATGCAGTAAAAGCAAGTAATTGGCTTTCCATACTTATGCCAGTCAGTCAGCATGGGGCTCTGTTCCTATCCCTTCTACTTCATTGCAGATGCCTATAGCAGCTCTGATATTTATTTCAGAGGGGTGGGCCTGGAGAGAAAAAAAAAGACTTTTATGGATCATGATGGTGTCAGAAAACCCTATTTAAAATTAAATGGTTATTGGTATAGAAAGAGTATAGAAAATCTTTGAAACTGCACCCAAAATTTAGAAATTAACTTTTCTATACAGTTTTTGTTTAAAAATGTCCTCATTGAAAGCATGTTAAAGTGCAAATACATTTCATTCTTTTACTTTTATCTCTCTTCATACACAGCTCTTGGGATATTTTTCCATCCATAATTCATAATATTTTCCATTTATGTTGTCCTCAACTTGTTTTTCCCCAGGCATGACCCCTTGTTAATTCCTGGCAATGAGCAGATTGACAATATGGATGCCAACGTGAAAAAATATGACTCTACAGGGATGTTTCATTGGTGTCCAGCCAAGGACATTGAAAAGGTCATTTTGGTAGGTATTGATGATAAGTTGTGTTTCAAAAGAGATTAGTTGAAGCACAGAACTGGTGTATAATGGATTAAGAAATTGATCTCTACTATTATGTAATCCAGCATATTGAAATCAGAAGCACAGCATAATGAAAACAATTTTGGTTAAAGCTTCATGATTACATAAATCTTTATGCCACGTGCAATAATAAAAATTTGTCCAAAATAGAGAGTTCCTTTTTCATAAGATGAAATTTGCATATCTGGTTTAAATCTTTAGAGAATTAAGATAGGAAATATGTAGATGGGATTTACATAGCGCATTTATCTTTTTACAGAAGTCAGTATTGATTCTAATACAGGCAAGTGTTGCTTTGGGTTGTCTCTTATTTATTGATGTGTTACTAATTATTATAATTAATTATTTATTAATTTTGCTCTCTTAGAACTTATTTCTCAATTCCCAATATTTCAAGATGCCCAAATAGGCCAGAGCAAGTAGTGCTACTACTCTGACTTTCTAGCGTGTTAAAGTGAGCCTATTCTATGTTTGTTTCATTTTATTAACTGGGAAAACCATCAAACTGTCTCAAGTAATTTCAAGTAATTAGAAGGCCTATCACAGTCTATTTTGCAAGTTTGTGCCATTTGTGTTCATGTACTCATACCTAAGAGTAGCAAGCAACTAACTCCAGATCTCATACACAAAACTGATTATATTTGAAATGAACTCCCTGGTGGATCTTCACTTTGTCGCACTTCATAAAGCTTTTCCTGAGCCTGCTCTGTTAGATTTTCCTGCAGTGTGGCATGGTGTAGCCAACGATGGTGACAGCCCCAGTTATTCTGTTGGGGGTTAAAAGCTTGTCTCTAGTTCTCTTCAGGGGTTTCTGTAATAACTGTGACATTGCCTGGAATTACAATATTGGTGTCTAAACAGTCAAGCAAGTAAATTCCAAATTCTAGAGATGGAGCTCTGAGATGGAGTTTTAAATAGAATGCATTTATATGTAATCAACAAGCAAGTAGGGGCAGCCCTGCTGTACAATACTTTGTAATAGACAGAGATAGAAATCTACCTTCATGCTATAAAGCACATTTTAGCTGACAAACTTTACATGTAGTCCCACTTAGAAAAGTGGTCCTTCAAAAATGGTGCTGAGGAGTGCATCATTCATCATCTCTCCATTTTACCATGTTAGCGTTTTGTACTACCAGCCTGTGAATCCACAAGTCCATCCAAGTTCTTTCTGCTTCATGCATCATCACCAGCAAAGCCACTACCAGCAAAATGCTTCCCTACACCTTTTCAAACTCGCAGTCCACAATTTATGTCTACATTCATATCCATGCAAATTTTATGCTGTCCTTAGAGACTACACAAGTACAAATTAGTGCATAATTTGAAGATGATGGGATTTCCCAGGTTGTCTCCTAATTGACACTTGATGCCTCAATCAGAAAATAATTCATTTTTCTACCCGAGGTCTGTTTTGACTTTGTGACGTTCCAGCAGTAACTGGTATCAAGGAGGATTTTTTGGTATACAGTCAAATGTACATACAGATCAGTGACAATAGACTGACATTTTTTGCATAATTGCATTCAAGACTTGTTCTCTGTCTTGTAAAATCTGGGTATTCCAGACCCTTTGGCAGAGGCATGGGACAACTTACATGGTTCACTTGAGTATTTGTTCATGTCTTCTGTTTGAAGGGCCAAGACGACTCTCTTGGTCAAGCTGTATGAAAGTCAATGTAATTGCCCTGGAGAAACTGAAAGCTCGTGCATTTTTTAACTGATGAGAAGAAAACTTCTAATCAGAGTTCCCATTCTTCTTGCATAGTGAACATATCTGCTGCATATTCCAATCTGTATTGCAAATCACCATGCTTCCATGATTTAGAAAAAGGACATATGCTATGGATAAATAAGAGGAAAATTTTACAGTTCAACACTGGCTTAGTTTTATTCGTTGGCAAAACTTCTATCTAATGGTAGTGAGTGTAGTATCAGTGGATCTCCAGCTACTTGAAGGAGTACAACAATGCTAAGACTGGCTTCAGAACTTAAGGTCATTTTTTTCTCATGATTTTATTTAATCATCTTGATGTTTGAGTTGCATGCTCGACTGACCTAACAAATGATGAAATTAGTGCAAAAATTTATTCTTGTCATTGACACAAGAAGATAATTCTGGACATCTTTTAAATATTCTCCATTAGTCCTTTTTACTTCTATCTGTTCAACAACTCAGGAAGTCCTATTGGGCTGAAAATTTAGTGTTGGTCACAACCTTGCACTATTTTTTCTTACCGAGAGAAGCTCTGTGGAGTATAGTGGGCATCCATAGTAAAACAGAGCAGTGTAGAGCATTCTTTGGTTGCTTCTCAGGGTAACAGCAGCTTGTCCTAAAATAAGAACTTTGTCTGTAAGAGGCTGTGGTCCTCAATTCACAAGATCTGGGTAATACCACGAAGCGCTACTATGACCATTGGGCTTTCACATTTTCCTTTTCAAATTGGTCCTGAAAAAACTCAACCAGTGATTCATCAGCTAGCGTGTGGGTTTGCATCTCTTTTCTATAATCCTTCTATTGGGTAAATATGTAGTAGGTCAAATTCTGTTCTTAGCTAAACCCATAGTGCTTTGATTATAACCAGAGCCACAATCCATATATGTAGAAACTTACACAGGACCAGAATCTGGTCCAATACAATGTCTTCCCAAATGCCAAAAGATTTGCAAACAAGAATGACATTTTCTTCTTCTGAACATATTTAATGAAGGATAAATACGGGTAAATGAACAGCTGTTATCAAACTGCTTCTTTGTGCATGAACAATATTGACAGTTGTATTTTTCCTGATTTTAAACTCAATATATGATTTAAGATTCCCTTTGTTTCATTTTTCCCTTGTCTTTTGTTTTGTTTTGTTTGTTTTTTTTTTAGACTCGAAGTGAAGCAGCGATGACAGTTTTAAGTGGGCATGTAGTCGTTTGCATATTTGGGGATGTTAAATCTGCTTTGATTGGATTAAGAAATTTAGTGATGCCATTACGAGCCAGCAACTTTCACTACCATGAACTCAAGCACATTGTGTTTGTGGGTTCACTTGAATACCTGAGAAGGGAATGGGAGACACTGCATAACTTCCCCAAGGTTTCAATCTTGCCTGTAAGTTCAAAAGCCATATTATTGATACTTTGTTATTTAGGACACCAACTGGACAGATTCGTATTGACTTTGATCTTAGTCTTTTTTACTTTTCTCTACTTATAGGCCTGAGGACTTAGCTTTTTGCCTTTACTTGTCTATGAAAACAGAGCCCTGTGAGACCTTATTAGAAGATATTTGCCGTAGTGTTTGGTTCCTTGTCATCCTCATCGGATGAATTTCAGCTGCTATCAGATGTATTGGCTGTGTTATGTATTGAACATTGACTGCAGTGCACTGCATGTAGCCAGTTCTGATGTTGTGATTTCCCTGACAGAATGACAGTAGTTATTTATGACATTATTTATGTGTTTTTACCCACAAAACCTTTGAAAAAAATATAGTTTATCTACATAATATCTATCTGTATTCTTAAACGCTTTGGTGGACTGACCTGCTTTATGAGGAACAGTGCCATAGCATTTCAGTTCAGAGTCCTGCTGTACTCATGTATGAAAGTGTACAACAAAACCCTGACCCTTTTTAAATCGATGGAAAGCTCCTATTGATTTTGGTAGGTCCAACCACTAAAACCACAGTTCAAAAGTCCTTTTTCTCCTAGATATCGTTATCATTCACTCATGTGCCCAAAATGTAGAACCAAGAGCTCCAGGACTAATAATGAAGCCCTCCAAGCTAGTGATCTTAGGTGGCCCTAGCTATAAATGACAGGCAGGAGGGAAAACAGCTCATGGTATAAGTATGAAAGAGAATGCTCTGTACGTTACAGAGTAAAGTTAATTTAGATAGTTTTTTCCAGAATGAAAAATTATGAGTTTACTAGTTCTTAATAATTATGTTTCAGCAGTAAAAATAAATAAATCAATGATGGATGTAACCTTAACTGAATAATTGGAAATATTAGCTATAGAACGAAAGGACTGTCTTCACTTTTTGATTAATTCAGACTGCAGGTCTTTGTTACTGTAAATGCAGTTTTAGTGTTAGCCCTTGGCTTTTTTCTGTAACCTGATCCAACAGATGGTGTCAGAAGATTCTTTGCTGTCACAAAAATAGTGTCAATATCAGATTTGGTTAGTTAATATCTTCCTCTTTCTGCCAATCCCTTTTAATTCCAGTCACTGTGAAGGCTAAAGACTATGGAATCAGAATACTGTTGAACTATGGAGCAGAATATAATCCAGCTACTACTTCCAATATATAATGTGTATCCATTATTATAATGCATTTTGTAAAGTTTCAGTTCTGACTTCTGAAGAGGCATTAAGGAAATAGACACCACCTTTACTTTCCCCAGTTTACACCCAAATGTAGAATAGTTTCAGACTAATTTTGACTTAAACACCTTAAATAGTTAGTCAATGCCTCTTTAAAAATACAGAATTATATAAAGGAATTGTATCTGACACAGTAATCAAGGGTGCTGAAGACCACACAGACTTCATTACTGCTTTTTCCAATTTTTTTTCCTCAGCCTATCTGGTTCAAAATAAAATGGTATAAAGTTAAAAATAGCAGCATTATTCTGATCTAATTCTACTAATTAAATAATCTACTAAAATTTCTGAGATTATACTGGTAGGAATCGTGTTAAAGGGAGGTCACTCAAACTCACTTCCTGCTTCTCTGTGCTTTGGTTCACGAGGTAAAACTTGCTGCTGATATCTGATGGAGATGTGGTTACAATTGAATATAAAAAAATTTGTTCTGGTTTGAAAAAAAAAAGTGGACATGTAATTTGAAGTCTGTATTAAAGGAGACCTTTAAGCTGCTAGTAAACTCTTAAAAAGTAGGCAAATGCCAATTTTAAATATCCTCAGGCAGCCTTAATTCTGTCCCTTTGCATAAAATCATTAAGACTAAGCCTTTAATTAATTACATGATTGCATATTATTTTTCCCCACAGGAATCCTGCTTCACTTGGTGCACAGTACAGACACAAAGGGCAGGATTAAGGTGGCAGGAATAATCATATCCAAACTTTTGAGTAGTTTATAATGAAATCATATCTGTTTGATATGTACTGTTTTTCACAAGGTTTCGTGCCTTAAATTATTGAAAGTAACATGGAATAATTAAGCTGGTATCTGAGACTATATGGCAGTCACTGAATAAGAATTGAGCTCCTTCTTCACTGTGCACATTTTAAATTCACTTTTGCATTGAATACTGTCAGTGGAGTACAGGAGATGTTCACCATGAATGATCAGGGGATGGAAGAGTAGGGTCTTGACTTGGCTCTATGAAAGTCGCTGTGTGACAAGGGGACAGTTATGTCTCCTCATCATTAGGGTCTTTGGGTACCAAAACATGTGAGGCAGCAAAGCAGAATCTAGTTTCCATTAAAAAAAAAAAAAATCTCTTTTTTCCTTGGAACTTGCAGCCCCTGTGACATAGAATTAATATTCTGTAACTACAGTTGTGGACTGTTGGGTGTGAAAGGCAAGTGCTATCTTTCAACAAAACATATCGTGTTAAGTGTCATATCTCAGTTTTGTTAACTATGAAAAAAAATCCATGGACTACCACGACATTTCATTTTAACAATTGCGTTCTCTGATTGAGAATTGTGGAGCAGGGAATGTTTCATGACTTGTACCCACTAGGATAAGGTCATGTTTCTGTTTCAAAGAGTTTAATCACACAGCTTTGAAGATCAGTGTGTTTTCCTTCTAGAAGCACCAAAAGCGTGCTTCGAAAAGGATTAACCTTTTCTGTGTATTGCTTTAGGTAGAAAAAAATAGCTTTATCCTGATTGCATTTCAAATGTGTAGGACACATAATGCTTTCCTGTTTAAATTGCCCTTCTTTTGCCCAAGACCATTGTGACTTGGTAGTAGATAAATAGACATTTAAAAAAACCCCTTCTTATATTCACAGAGCCAGAGGTTGCCACATGATAGCAACTTAAATCAAGACAATTTCAAGTCACCGATGAGATGTAGAATGCTGGCATTATTCCTGTTTCTTGTTTGTTAGTAATAGCTTGACTGAGTATTGAGACTGAACCTAAAATGCTGCCATCAGCACCAACTACCCTTTAGATTAGCACACATCTCCTATTCCCTGGCACATAGTTAGACCAGCTTAATGTCAGAGCATAAAAAAGATACTTGTTAAATAATTTCCCAAAGCTCCTTCTCAATCTTTAATTTGTTTTTCTTTTTTTCCCCTCTTCTGCACCCCCCTCCTTTTTTTTTTTTCTCCGTGCCGAAGGGTACGCCATTAAGTCGGGCTGATTTAAGGGCTGTCAACATCAACCTCTGCGACATGTGCGTTATCCTGTCAGCCAATCAGAATAATATTGATGATGCTTCGCTGCAGGACAAGGAATGCATCTTGGCGTCACTCAACATCAAATCTATGCAGTTTGATGACAGCATTGGGGTCTTGCAGGCTAATTCCCAAGGTAAGGACTGCCCTATAATACTTCTCTGCAGTGCCTACAGGGGACAGGACCTGGCAGGAAGAATATCCCTCACTCAGTAATTCAAAGAGCCCTACATCAGCTTGCTTGACAGTTAAACCTGCTGATTGGTATGATGGCTTTTAAAGGGACAGTCACACAGTTTCTCTGCTACATCACAAAGCACATTTTTTAGAGGAAAAATGAATGAACATGAAACTGGCGTTTCTTCTCATTTTGACATTTTCCTGGAAGATACATAAATTCACCACTTTCTCACTGTGGCTTTCTTACATGGGCAGTTGCTGTTCTATAGCCAATGATAACTTATGCTCACTTTGGAATACCTGAAGTTTCTGTCTAATGAGATTTCTTTTTTATGTAAAAAACATTGCAACCAGAGAGAAAATACAAGTTTGAGTAATACAAGCCAAAAAAATAAAATAAAAAGGACAAGAATTTTAAATTTTCTTTACAGCTCTGGTGCCTTCTTGCTCAAGAAGCCACTTAGAATTAATTCAAAACTGATTTCTTCCCATGGTTTGACATGTACTCATCCCATTTAAGGACGTTGAACAAAATCCTTCAGTCTTTTCTGAGAGTAGGGGACTGATTCATAGGTAGCCAAAGGCTATTTTACACCATCTGTGCCTGTGCAAAGCAGCTGCAAAGCAGTCATAAGCACCCTGGCAAAGACCATCAGTGTAAAAACAATCATCTTCTCATCCCTGAAGGGTCTTGCAGCTTATGCAGCTCAAGTCCTACCTTTGATAAACCTATTAACTGCTGCAGTAAATATTCCCACTGGATCTAGCTCTTCTATAAATGTAGGTGTAGAAAGGGTAGTGCTTTGGTCTGCAGTTTGCCCGTGAGCCTTACCTAGAGATAGTTTTCCCTCAAGGACTGTGAGAACTAAGATTAAGTTCAGGTTTTCCTCTTTACAGTCTAATATGGAAATAGGAATTAAGAGCCAAAAATCAGAGGCAACAGTGTAACTTCTTGAGTATGGAAACTTGAACTTGGAAAATTCTTTCTTAGACTCAGCAATAAAACAGTGTAATTTAATGCTGAAATTAAATTCTATCATGAAACTGAAAGTTTTGATTTCTCAAAGTCAAATTGGAGAGTTCTCTGGATAAAAAGTAGATTCAAGAAGAAGAGAAAGGAAATGGTTTTTTTCAATCCTGTGGTTGTTCGAAGTTTTAAGTCTGTGGCCTGAAAGCAATACAACTCCAAATATTTTAGAGTTTTTTCCTCATAAATTTGTAAGACTAACTTGCTCACAGTAAGAGTCATGATTAGAAAACTCACTGCTGAAGTGGAAGACCGTCATGCAGGTTCCCTCTTTTGCTGATTTAGACCTGGAATTTGAAATTCTGTATCTCAAAACCAGATCTCTACTTTCACTGTCAGGCTAGTGGCTGTTCTTTGAGGGACCTCTCACAGTCTCCTATCACACGTATAATTAAACTAATCAAGAAATAGAATCTGCTCTTGAGCATGAGCAGTCTGAGAGAATTTCCTTCTGTCTTTGCTCAGAGCTTAGAGACATTTCCAGCACTTGACTGTTGTGTTTTACCTCTGGGAGTACCCAGGATCCTAGACCATCCCTCCATGAGAATGGAAAAATCTAACAATATGGGTCTTGTGCACTCCATGAACACCTGTCATTTTTCACTCTCCATCCTTAGAGGTATTCAAGACCTGACTGCATAAAGCCTCAAAGAAGCTGATCTGACCTTACGGCTGATCCTGCTTTGAACAGGAAATCAGACTAGAGCCCCTCCCATGTCTCTTCCAGACTGAATTGTTTTATGAATCTGTAATACCCAGGTTGCTGCTGCAGCAATAGCCCTATAGGTCAGGAAGTGTACACTGGCCATGGTCCAGATCCCTTTAGGCCTATTCAGTATTGCTGATGCAGAGAAGCAGAGGCACAATAGGTTAATGCATTCCAAGAAATTTTCTTCAGGTAAGTACCAGTCTGCACATTAAAAAACAAAGGTGACTCTTTCTGTAGCTTTTCTGGGGAAACAGGGCATAACATAAGGCAGGTAACTAGCAGCCTATTTTAGTTGAGAGCACTGACTAAGGAGGGGTTCTTGTAAGCCCAGTGGCTTCAGAAGATAATTACCTTCCCAGTACATTCTCTGCTTATGATATCCACAACTCCTGAATTGATTGTGTTCCTTTCAGTGCAGTAAATTTTCTTGAAAGACCTTGAATACAATGATTAGTCTGTCAGAAGCAGTTAGATCATTAGATAGCACAAACTTCATGGAAATTATATGCAATGTGACATTTTTGTTTGTGAAATGCATCTTTAACATATGGTGGACACAACTATCATGACAATTATATAAACTAGGTGATTCAACTTCTGCTAGTCAACAAGCAGAATACTAGAACAATCTCACGGCTTCTTACTGGCAATTAAGCACCTTTGTTTACAGAGAGAATTGTCATTTTACATTTGTACATTCCTTGACATAATTATCCTGAACACGTTAGCTGGTACAAACCTTAAGTATTGCCAATCTGAGTTTTTCTAGATCTTAGTGTATGATTTTGGATTAAGACATCAACACTATCCTTTGAATCTTCTGTGCTGTTCTTTTATGTTACTCCTGTTACTGATCATCAGCAACATTGACGTTAGAAAGTCTGGGTGTGTGGCAGAATGTCAGTTGACTTGTGACAGGGAAGAAACAAAACAAAATATGTGAGCAATCTGAGAAATGTATGGGATAAACAGCAAGATTTTTGGTGAGGGATTTAGCAGTATAACCTTACCTTTGCTATTCTAAGTAAATATGTAGTATTGTATATGTATAATCATGTAGTCATTACACAGTGGAATCTCATATGAAAACCTGATATATAATTTATGTTTATGTCTTTGAAAAAGAAAAAAATAGTATTTAATTGATAGATTACTGAATGCCTAAGGATCTTCCCAGTTTGTACCTGTGATTATTTCACTCCAGCATGAGGCAAAAGATGACACTGATACAAGAAGTGTGCCATAAAAAGCAGGATGCAAATCTATTTAACCATCAGATAAGCCATAATCATTCCCCAGTGCTGAAGTACAGGGCTCTGTCTATAACTCCTTTGCTCTAAGTTGGTAGCAGAAAAAGAATCCACAGATTTTGGGATTTCATTAATTTTTTCCCAGAGCCCCACCCTCATCACCTACTTTAACACAGAAGTCACTACCAGTCATAGGCATTCATCACCAGCCAACCCTCTGTATCCATCCAAACATATCCTTTCCAAACAAGGACATATCTTTGAAACAGAACTCAGGTGCAATCTGAAAGGAAAGATCTTGTAGAAGGAACAGGAGAGTGGACACATGACAGCAAGCCTTCCTGACAGAGAAAGTTCTGTAACAATAGGACTGCCAGTACCCAATGGATTAAGTTATCTGCTGAAAAAATGTCTTTGAAATAATCTGGTTTGTATCAACAAAGGATTTTCTCATTACTAGTTCAAGTTGAACTTAATACACACGCAGGTCATACAGAAACAAAGACTTGATAATGCCTCCTTCTATAATAAAATATCCCCAGGTTTTTGGGCTGGGTAGGATTAATTATCCAGACTTTCCATAAGCAGTGCAACAACACTTTTGACCTCTGGCCTGACCATCTTGAGTCATAACTGATCCTGCCAGAATTGCATCTTATCTAAGCAAAGTGCTCCACCTTGATCTCCTACAGAAGAAAAATCCAACTCACTGTTCCAAGACACAGGAAAAAAACAATATTCTGGACCAGGGCTACAAAAGACTCTTGAGTACCCAGAGCAGATGTCATCTAAGTTGTCAAATCTATGTTCATCATCAGCTGTCTAGGAACATATAACCAAACACATGACCACACAGAACTGTGAGTGGAAACAAGCTGTCTTCCTTAGAAGGAAAAGCTTACTGACTGCTCTGGAAGGATTTACTGGTCTCCTTTACATAAAATGTGTAATTCTACTCAAAAAGAACAAGAAACTCTTTAAAATTGGAGCTGTGCTGTTCAACGTTGAAAGCATTCTCAGGGCTGTCTGCGCTGAACACTTCAAAGCTGACTGGGCAACTCTAGGCTTGCCAGAGGTTAGGGGTGCCTACTCTAATGTCCCAAAAATGAACTTTTGGAATTCATCAGGGCAGTTTGTTGCCTTTGGGAGACCTAGATTCGAAGGACAGAAAGGCCAAAATGTATCCCACTGAAGCTGCAGCAAACTATCACTTTCATTAAGATATCTCAGCTTTTGAAATACAAAATGCTGTAGAGTCAAAAGTTGGTCCACTTCTTCACAGAATTACTCATAAACAAGGAAGCCCTGTGTTTATCTTGAAGTTCCTCTTACAGATCTTGACTGATTGTCTTCCTAGAAAGATTTGTAAAGCGGTGTGTTTCTGGTGGAGAAAAAGGTCATCCTCCAGTACTGGAGATTTGTTTTTATTGTCCTTCCTGTTTCTCTTTCTGCTCCCTCAAATACCAATTGAGGTTATTTTATCAAGAACTGTTTTGGAGAGAAGACCAGAGATTATTGGATCCATGTTAAGCATTTTTGCTCACTTGTCATAACATTTTTCCAAAGCACCTTGGAGTACTGAGTATGGGATGGGCTCTGCCTTGGCAGTTACGCTGGGACACCTCCAGTAATTCTCCTTTCCTTCATTCTCTTGTCATTTCCATCCATTCTTCTTCAGGTAGCATCTATTGACTAGTCCATTTAGGTTTTTGTGTTTCTTGTTTTTTTCTATAACAGTCTTACATTGTGGGAATTTTACTTGTTATTTTATCCACCAGATGAACAGGGCCCAACACAAAATATTTATCTTCAGTTGTAACTAAAACTTCTATTTGGCTTTCTTTCAAAACCCAGAAAGACAATTATACCTAACTGTTTAGAGATTTATAAATACTGTACCAGAGTAGCCTCTGGGTAGTAACTTTAGATATCCAACTCAATAATTTTCTTTTATTGGATAGTGATTTAGA